TTTATGTGGAATCGTAGTGGAATCTGGTCCTTTTTAGGCTATTTCATATGCACCTGGTAGATCATTAGGGCTACTGCAGGTATTTCCTCACTGCAGAATGTCAACCAACATGTGAATTATTTTGTTGTGAATGTATATTTATCTGTTCAAATGAAATGTAGAATATTTGTGCGTACATGCACATTTTCAGTTAGATATATCTTTATTATGTATTTTGTTCTGACAGAATTTTATAGGCTTAGATAAAATCTAATCTTTCGATATATTAATTGTTACTGTAATGTTGGCCACTTTAGAGGATGGTTTTCAGAGCATATTTATATTTTTAAAATGTTACAGTCTAAACACATCATGAAATTTCATTTTAATCACAGTATCTATATAATGCACCATTTCTTTCTGCCTTTTTTTTTTTTAACTAATTCTTACATTAGCATCCTCTCTTGTATCCTGTTGCGTAGCAATTACTTTTTTTTTTTTTTTTTTTTGGCAACTAGAATGACATAAACGATCAGAAATAGGTAGATGTTGACTCTTGCTAGTTTGGGTTTGCCAAAGGGTATTTTAGTGATTTTCTATGGAGTAGTATCTTATCTTGCACAAGCTGACCGCACGTTACTTCACTCGTGTGAATAAAATTGCATGTCGCTTGCTAGTGGCTATAGGATACATGTATTAAAATATTCCTTCTGTAGGTAAATCATCAGCAGAGTTGTATTTTTTCAGAATAGTGCTGATGATCCGCAGGTTCTCAGGCCATGTAAAAGTATCTCTACAATTTTTTTTTATCTCTGGAATGTATTGTGCTTTGTACTCCCCCTCTGTGTAAGCAGATACTCTGTGCTAAATGTGTTTGAAGGCATACAGAGATGAGAATGGAGTTTTAAAAATCTAACTAGAATTAAAAGTACGAGCTTTCCTGAAAACGGTTTCAAGTACATCAGTACTTAAGTACAGATCAAAGTCGAGTATGGGCGTTTTCACTCAGTGTTAGAGCTGTACATACTTTAACAAATATGCATAAATTCTGGCTTATATATACAAATACTGTTGTTTATGAGTATTTCAGAATCCGGGCATTTTATGTTTGTGTTTCTAAAGTCCTGTACGCCTGTAGACACTTATTTCCTCTACCAAAGAGATTGGTGATATCTAATGTTTAGAAAAACTTAGTAGTTAAAAAAAAAAAAAAAAAGAAGAAGGAAGTTCTCAAATGCAGATCATATTTCCATGAGAGTATATGCTATGCTACCATCGGCCTAAAAATCATTAATTAATCCATGTGGTAATAACAGATGGTTAAATGGAAGAAACATCCTTGAAGTTATTCTTATAACAGATGTGCTTAACTACTAACTTCGTGTTTTACTCACCTAAAATTCCAAGTAATGTAATAAGAAAGTAACACACACCTAATCATTTTAATATGTTCATTACCTTCTCTAAGTGATTTAGTATTCTTCTATACACTTAAAAGCAGGACATCATTTAGAATTTGTTCTGGTAAAACACTTTAGAATATATGCTTATGCGTATCTATGGACAGATGACTTGTGCCATGTAATTACATTTGACTTTTCTTTTTCTCTTTAAAGGATCCTACAAAATGCATTATTGCTTTCGGACAGCAGGCTTCACCTCTTCTTACAGACTCAGCTAAGTCCTGAAGATATGGAGGCTTGTGTATGTGGACAGACCAAATATTCTGTTGCTGATGCGATCCATAAGTTTGCTTCTCTGAGCAGACGTTTTCCTATAGAAGATGAAGAAAGAAAAAAAGAAAAAAATGATGCGGACTCAGATTCAGAGAGGTGACTTCTGTATTTCCTTACTTTCTGAGATTATATATACATACATATACATGCGCATGCTTCACTTTTTTTTGTTGATGTAATACTAAGATAATGAAAAAATTAATTGACTGAGATTTTATTGAGCTGTGACAGCTCATCATAGAAGTCTTCACACACACCTCCACACTGAATTAATGAATGCAGTAGAAATTCAATTATCTGCATTCTGATTATGTGAATTTCATTTAGTCAGACTTGAATTATTCGCGTTTAAATTATCTTGCTAAAAAAATATCCAACTGCACTCCAAATGGCTAATTAAAAGTCCAAATTTCCTGTCTCTCTTTGTGACTGGAGATAATTAAAGTTCTCCTCTGTTACTCAGGCTTTGAGTGTGTTGTGAAAACCAATTTCCTCCTTTTATTTTTTTTTTTCTCCTCTCCCCTCTCTGCAGTTCATCCTCCGGGCTTGGACAAAGTGATGACAGCGTTTCACGTGGATGTAAAGCAAGCTCAGCTTCTGAAGAATCGTGAAAAATCGTTTCTGCGTTGCCCTCTGAAGGACAGTACAAAGTGGTTTCTGCTGCGTTCACTAGCTGCGTGCCCCACGTAAACACGGTCTGCAAATATCGTGTCCTGAGAAGAGTTGTTGTCAGTGCAACTGTATGTCTCAGTTTTGAAACAGACCCCAATATTGTTTCTTTGTTATTTGTCGTGTACATTGATTGAGGTTTACATGCTACCGGTAAGTTTAGGTTTTTGCAACTGTTAAAATCTCTGCATTGGGCTAATGCTCTACTGAAACGTATGGCAGTTTAAAATATTTCCCTTAGTGACTGCACGTCTTACATCTGGAAAATCAAGATAACTTAATTCCTCAGCTTAAAAGTTCTAATATCAAATATATTCAAAGCATCTTTTTGTAATTTGCATCAGAGAGGTTTCATCTTTAGAAGTCATTTGACATTGGTGATGAAATTACATACCCCACAAGGTATTAACTTTTTAAAGTAGCTCAGCAACATCAGCAAAAAACATTTGTAAAAACTATATGCTGCTGACAATTTGAGATATATTTTTATCCTCCTCTGGTCTTTCTCTCATGTTTATGGAAAGCTTGGTTTTATCATGCATAAGAACCAAATGCCAAAATTCTCAAGCCTGACTGCTTATAAGTTGGGAATAATAAAAATGGTGTAATTTGGAGGGCTTCTAAAGAGGCCAAGTTCCCAGGGAATTATGGATACACATTCCCAGGGAAAATCCTGGATGATGTCCATTAAAACCAATGGCTGAATTAATTATCCATCGACCACACTAGGGCCAAGGCTTCACCCTACAGGTCTAACTTTAGGAACCTATAGTTGAAGGTGTCAGGACAGAGGGTTTAGTTTATCGGCTAAACAGAGTGTATTTCCTTCTCCGAGATGATGCAGATCACATAGTGTAACACGTTGTATGAATGTGCAGTGCTCAAATCTTTGGCAATAACTGCAGCTGCTGATTTTAGTGTTACTGTAGTTAATGCGTATTGACTTTTGCACAAACAAAAGGCAGGCTTGAACACAACTTTGTAACCACCAACACTTATTTTGATTAAACGTCAATTTGGTTCTTTATTGTTAACAGCAGCTGCATAGTGTCTTGTCCCAGATTCTGTCAATGGAATATGTTTCACTCTGGTGTTGTATTTATATTTGACATTTAACTGCTATTAAAAAGAGCTAGGGGGTCCGATCGCCCTAGCAAAGCTCCCATTAACTTCAGAGCTGCAGTTACAGGCAGCACGTGGATGCTTTTTTAAAGAATTCTGTTTCTGGTTTCAAAGAAGGGACGTTTAAAATTTGTGAATTACAAAAACAATAGATTATTAAATGGCCAGCTAATAAAGGTTAGCTAGGCATGTGTGGGCATGCTTTTTCAAGCATCCAGATGGGAATCTGTGTAATTTTAGAGACGTGTTTTAATAGCCCGAGGATAACATCTCTTGGCTAACTACTTCGAGCCTATGTTTTCTTTCTTTCCTTTCCTTTTTTTTTTTTTTTTCTGTTAATGGTAGCACTTCTGTAAAATTATTGTGGCCTTTTGCTCAGTTTTATTGAATTGCACAAATGTATTTCTCACCAGCTCTGCCTGTGTACAAAGTAGCAGCAAAGCTATTTTAATGTATAGGTTGTAACACTTATTTAAAGCAGCAAGTTATACCTAGAAGTAGCTAGAGTGCTGGTTTTGACAAGCAGATCCTTAAGCTGTTACGTTACTGGAAAAATAATTTAGTTTAGCAAATTTATGTGAAAGATGGAGGAAAGTATCAAAGCAAACTGGGATCATATCTGACAATAGGATAGTGTTTTTGTTTCGTTTTAAAATGGTGAGCCAGACTGTGAAAGCACTTTACAATTCTCGGCCTACTTATGCAGGTCCTAGTTGACTAAAATGCATAAATAAAATGATTGGAGAATCTTTATAGTTACATTTTTTTCCTTAATTTGAGGAGTTTGTGTGTCAGAGGATGATATTTCTGAGCTAAATACTTGTTTTTAATAGTTCTGTTGTTACTTTATTTTCTCTATCACACAGAACTGATATTTCTGAACAATTAACAATACTTTCTTTGCATCTTTGATAGAAATTTGTTTAATTTTCTGATGAATGTTACTTGTTTAGCAAATACTACTGGATTATTTTCTTATTAAAGAATGAGCAGTATTCTCTGTTCTAGCACTTTTATTTTGTTACCACCTATATAAGTGCATATAAATTCTTCCTAGCACTTTCTTTAATTGGGGACATTTAAATGTAAAATTTACATAATTCTCCATTTACAATTCTACATTCCTATTAAAAAATATATTTTTAATGCCTTACCTGACTCAAAGATTTTGCGTTGTTAACACTGGTGTTTATTTTGACTCCAAAAACATCACAGATATTTTGATTCTCAGTTTTTAGGTTGGAATAATGCTGATACTGCTCGCTATTTTTTTTTTCCCTGAACAGGCTAGTACCTAAGTTACAATTTCATCTAATTACTGTTATTAATTTATATACAATTACAATGATTTCAATTTGCACGTAAATAACCAAAAGCCTTGTCCTTTTTATTTATTTTGTCTTTCCTGAGAGCTTTATATTCTGGTTTTGCATAACTTATGTAACTAGATAAAACATGATTTTAATCTTGTCTTTAAATCAGATGCTGAGATTTACTTGAGTATTGATATCACCTTTTGATTTTTCATGTGTAGTTACTTTTCTTAAAATATTTTTGATATATATATATAGAGATTTTTTTTTAAGAAAATGTGAACAAGTGAAAATATCTTTTCCCATATATCCTGTCAAATTGTACAGCATGTTTAATTATTGTAAACTAGTATAAAGCAGCCTGTTACTTAAAATGCCACTGTAATACACTTTTAAGAAGAGAAATTTTTTCTTTTGGAAGGGAAATTGTTCATGTGCACAGCAGTGTTGTTTAAGAACTAAGAAACTTTATACTCTTAAATGTACCACCCTATAGCATTGCAAAATGTGTCCAAGTTATTTAAAAAAAATATATATGCAGTATGTTGATTTTTTTTCTAGAACTGTATTTAAATTATATAGTTACACAAAATTTGTCACTCGTGTAAAATACAAGATGCACATAAAGCGAGTAAAAGAAACTTTTTTATGTTTCTGGGTAGTTTTTATATATTCCTTAGAGCAGCGTCATCAGTGGCGATGATGATGATGATGATGTTCAGAGGTCAGAGACTTTTCTCCTGGCTTTTCCCAGTGTTGTAATTTCCTTTAGTAATGCAGGCCAAAAATGCAAAGCAGGATTTCCAATATTTCCTAAATACTTCATGAAAAATCGCTATTCTCTTGCTAACACTAAATGATTCCGTTCGTGTTCCTCTGCCTCCTTGCCTCCTGCCCTACGGCAGGCCCGGGAAGGCCGCGGCGCCGCGCGTGGGGAGGCA